TTTAATTCAATGTTTCAGGTGGAATGATTTTAATAAAACCTTAGCGCTAATTGCAATCTACTCATTCTTTACTCATTATACTCGTATTTTTATATATTTTTATTTCGCTGTTCATTAGGGGCCCCACAGTGTTGTAGAACACAGGCCCGCAGTTTGATTGTTACGCCACTGGTTAGCTGTTTCCAGACGACGATTCAGAGAGGCCCGATACTTTTTCAAGTAAATGAATGTGATCAATAAACAAAATTGGATGTAGAAAGTGTATGTAGGTACTGCAATAAAGTTTTTTATTTTCAGTAACTTTTATTTTTCTTTCGGTGTTATTTGCATTCTCTTATTTTAAAACTTACTTCAACTTACTGTTTAGTAATAATTGTAATTTTACTATAAGGAAGGTTAAAAATCTTTATTAAACATTCTGTTGTTTCAAGAGGTCTCGTAATCATCTACAGAACTCTTAACACTATGCTCCTGAAATTTTATTGGTTTTTTCATCTTTTTTGTTATAGAAATTTTGAAAAATCTTGATATTAGGATCGCCATGTGGGCGTGTTTTGGGTAGAACCTCTTTGACATTCCTGTTATGCAGATCTGGCATGTTTCAGATATCTAGAAACTGCAAAGCTGAAGGTAATGTTTGGACATAGCAGCTTTCACCTATTGTAGGGATGAGATCAAGGCTTTCAGTTGTGTTTTTTCAAGAGAAAAGCACCGGTCACAAACCATGTCTGCACAATATTTTGACGATTCCTTACAATTTACAAGCAGAACTTTCGCGGGATCACAACTTTGGCAAAATTATTTACTGCAAAAACTCATTAGGTACTCATTGTCATTTTAAAACAGTGGTAGTGTTCCTTAACTGTAATAAGACTTGCTCTGCCATTGTCCATTACGTGATTTTTCACAATTTTTACCTTCAGGATACCTATAAAAATGTAATTTTTTAATTAATTACCGTGTTCATTGGTTTCGGCAAATTTAACCTCACTTTCTGGATTTCATTATTTGAAAAATTATTGCTTCTTTGCAAAACAGACCAGATGATTTATTCTGTTCAACTCCAATCGACTTTCCAAGGTGTAATTCATGACAAAGCCCTTAAACGTTTTTCTGACAGTTTACAATTTTTGAAACTGAAATGTATTGCAGTGGCGTTCACAAATGCTCGATAACACTGCAACCCTTAATGCTCTGGCCTGGCGTATTTTCGTGTCTATTTAAAATGAAATTAAACCGCAAACCTGGCATATCAATTTTTGACACATTTGATAGATTTGTTTCGACGTTCGTGACATTTCAAAAGAGTAGAAACCATTTTGGTGATTAGCGCCACGAGAAAAATTTCAATTGTTTTTCATAGGTGAGTTGACTACAGTATTTTATAATGACCCTGTATAAATTACAAGTAAAAACTCATCTTTTTTTTGCACATTTTAGTTAGGATTTATTCGGCAAAATTTTGAGATGACGTCATCAATTTTTTGGGGTTGCTGGGTAGACACATTTAGATTAACAAGTTACCACACTTACAATATCTTCAAAACGTCTGCAAGATTTCAAAGCAGTTCGTTTTGCAGTTTCTAATTACATCAATAAAATAAATGGATTCAGTTATTATTTTTTTTGAGCTACCATGTATACTAAGATCCCTTTAAAAGCATACTAATAAAATTTTATGACATAATTAGGATTATTTGGTTGACAATGCCGAGTCGACTTTTGGCAGTAGGGTCCTTGTAAAGTTGTAAATTCTGTCGCGTGCTTACAGAATTTCCTGTGCTGCCCCAAGTAGACGGTCTTTGGCGGTCGTACCTGCATAATTTATGGTTTTAGAGATTTGTGGGTTGGGTTCTTTGACTAAAGTTGTAAATTTTCTACACTTCATGAGTACCGAGTAAAATTTTACAACCACTACTTTGAGGGATTGTCGGACAATGCAGAGGGATAATGACGCCAGTAAAAGAAGCGTTGTATAGTGGGCTAGAAACATCTAGGGTTTCATTGAATTTGTGATTTATGGTATTGTGGCTCCAACCTTCATGGTTAGCATTCTGCGCTTTCAGCTTGATTGAATGATATAGCGATTCACTCAGCGGTTAGAGAGTGACGTTAAAAATGTTGAAGCAGTACATTTACATGTACAACAGGAACTGAAATAGCATTTTTTTAAAGGTAATCTATTTCTTATTTACAATTAATAAAACAAAACGAATCGTTTGCTTCATCATGGCAGTGACTTTTGAGAAGTACCATCTGTCAACCGACCGACGGTCGAGAAATCGAGAAACCCTGGAGTCTGTCAATGTTTTGGCTTAGTCGGACGGAGTTCTGAAATACACTGTAATCATCTGTTTATCGAAATTCTCATATTTTGAATCCCAAAATTGTCTATATTGTAGCCTTGTACTATCCATTTTTAAATATAATCCTGAAGGGTAATAAATGTGAGGGCCGTTAATACTAAGTAATGGTAAGATGGTATTTTAAATACCATAAACTATAATCCTTTATTCACTGAATTTTCCAATAAACATTTGTAGGGGCAACACATTTTACCTACGTATACCAAGGCCACCCGGGTCAGGTAGGCACGCTGATTCTATTTGTGTTATTAAATAGGACTAATTTTTTATTGCAAAACATTTGTTTAAAGGTATATTTATTTCAAAAAAATAATAATTGCGGGTTACATAAAGATTAATTTTTTCAGTTAGCACAAATTAGTTTTGTAATTAAATATAACACAACAATGCCTTTTTCTGCACCTTTGGAGTGGGTATTTAGCAGCGAAAATCAAATTCTTACACCAAGAAAAAATAATTTACGCGGCAACATATTTGAAATATTAATTTTAAAAGATTCATTAAAAAATAAATAAAAACTTGTTATTTTGTATCTATTATCCAGATACATTTTGAAAAAATTGAAAACAATTTGTATCTAGATAATTTTATCTTAAATATGTATCTGCATCTAAATAATTTTTAAAGTATCTGTCTTCAACACTGATAACGACTATATTATCATGCAGTCGGATAATTTAATTTGATCATGTTATGTAATACTTCAGCATTTTTGTCCTCAAATTGATTTTCATAGCCGATTTAGAATTTCGTAGGAATATTGAACCCATCTTTTTGAACTCTTTGGATCAAATCGGATACATTTGAATACAAACTTTCTTCACTATAAAACGAAACTTGCAGACTTGTTTGCTAATTCCTTTATCACTGACAAAGACACTATAAAGAATGGCATTTGCCATTATATTTAACCCGTTCTCGAACAAATAGTTGGAAAATTTTAGGAATTAGACGATTCAAACGGCCGACGATCCTTGATGCCAATAAATCTGTATTGAGGGTAATAAATGTTTACAAAACGGTAAACATTCGGTTCCTTTGCCTTTCAAATAGGACGATACGGATTTAGGTATCTTTTGAAACGGTGATTATTGATTACATCATGGTATGTACATGAAGAAAGTACAGAGGAAATTTACCGTGGAACTGAAGAGTCACTTCGTCTTATTAAATATAAGTTGGTCTAAGTTTATTAAGACAGAACTTCCTGGCTTCTGAAGTGCAGTACAACGTGTCTAACTTTTTGGAAAAATTATAAAATTTGATTTTTGCATTTTATTTTTTTTTTTAAGATAGACAGATGACAGATGAGAGACAGAGGGAAACGGGAGATCTACTTTTTGTACTGTAAGGGTTATTAAACGTCGAAAAAACATGAAACTAATCATTCGTCCCACGAACGATATTACAATACTTCCTTAGCTTACGCTTACGTAAAAATTGCTTTAGACAATTTAGGGCTTTACGGACTGGTCAAAATTCTCTTTCACACTCTATCACGCATGATGACTCTTTAGACTTAAAAAAAATGATGGACACCATATGTGTTGACTTGGTTCAGTTCGCAAAGCATCCGGCCCGCTAACAAATGTGGGGATGTGGAAGCTGGTGGGCGGCATCTCTTTTTTTTTCATTAGAAGAAATAAATGTGACATATAATAAATAGATACCAAAACGCCGTGTTCTTTCCCTAGGAGAACCTGTGACGACATCCTACTGTCATACATCTCTCTTGTGCATAGAGGGATTACAATGAAGCTATCCTTGCCTGATCACTATTTGAATTTTGCTCGCCTAAATTTTAGGAAGTATGTTTGAACTAACTTCGTGCGAAAGATGTTGACAGCTTGATTTTATAAATAATTCACAGTAGGAACGGAAGGAATAGTAAATTATTGGACAGCGATTGTGATCCGTTATGATTACATCACTTAAAATAGGATCTTTGTTTTAAATTCTAAAATTGTTTTTCCTACAAAAACTCGAAAGAGAGGTTAGAAGAAATATCTGTCAAAAGTGATTTGTTGCGCTGGTGCGGTACAAGGATGGAAGTGAAATAGACATATACAGATGAAATGCATATAACAAAGATGAAGATGTGGTGATCACACAAGGATTGCATTATACTACTCCCCTTGACGTAGAAAACGACAAGACAGAGAGCTTCATGTCTAGTCACAGCTTTCACTTTGAGTATTGGTATCTATTTATTATATCATCTAAGACGATAATATTGAGCTCCTGACAATCGGGTGGAGATGCGGTAATCTAATTGTTACAGTGGCTGTTAAATCTACCTGATTTGTAGTCCGACATTAGCCTTTTGTAACATGGGGTCTGCATGATTTTATGAGGTAGGTAAACCCTAAACGGCCCGAGAGTACTTAATTGATTACTAGATTTACATCCCCACCAAAAAATTTTCTCAGGTATATAAGCAGGAGGAGTCATTCTAATTTGTATATACACATGGTGAGTCGAAGTGACAGATGCTCTAGCTTAGACCAAGTGAAGTTTGTTGTTTGCTGAAGAAGTTCTGGTAAGTACTGTTATATTATTTGGGTGTTTGTGAGCTGCGTGTGTGAAACTGCGTAAAATGAACTACAATTTTTGTTTATTCTTTCAGATACCATCATGTCTGCCGATGAATCTCAGGCCGAAATCAACGTCGAAGACATCTATCCGGGTTTCCATATTTTTCAAGGATTGAAATACGGTCTAGATTTCGAAAAAGCTATCGTTGAGGAGCGTATTATCGAACTTGTCGCAAAAATCATCAATTCCGACAATCCTCCAACAACAAATAACGTTACTCCTTGCATAAACATTCCTCGGCGACTAACTTATCTCGTCAATAACCCCAACCTCAGAATCTATGGACAACTGTGGCGATGGACACACATCCGTAAACTCTACATAGAAAGAGAATTGTCAAAGTTTCAAGCCGACAGAACCTGTTATTCAGCCATTCATGGTGAAATTTGTCTCAACCCATTACACTACTTGAAGAAGAGCCGACCAACTTCGAGCCTCGCATGGTGTCCACCTCTTCATCCGTGGGCGACCATCGCGTATTACGAAAAGTGTCGTAAATTAGAAACTTTTCAGTGTTTTCCACCTGAGGTTCAGGTAAATTGTAATACCGTGCCTGGACGAGCAGTAGGATGTTTCAGTTTGGACGGAATTCGAAACGAGTTACGAGAAGACGAAGTGACCAATACGAGAAGACAAATAGGAGACGGAATTTCTCTATATTATGTGAATGGACAGGTTTTTGTGCATTTGTTGTCTGACTCGGGCGTTTATATCGAAGCGCTATATTGTAATAGGGTTAAAAACCATAGAAAACATACTCTTCATTGGTTACAGCCATTTGATGTAACATCCATGCAGCTTATGGATGATGATGGATTCCATATATTATTGGATAAGGCGGTACAAGAAGGAGATGAAGCGGTATATGACCTTGCGAAGATTTTTACCATACGAGTAGTTTTTGTGGACCATTGGAGAACGAATACACCAGTTACAAATTACAATTGTTGGATAGAGATACGATTATGTAGACAGATGAAATGGATAGACAACGCTTTGAGACAAATGGGAGCCCCATATAAACTCCATTATTGACATGAATTTAACAATGTACATATATATGTAGTTTTATAATAAAAGCTTTATTTATTGTAATGTCTCCTTTCAATTCTGGAATTACATTTTTTTGTGTGGTTGGTGTTATTAATAGTCAAGAGAAGGAAAAAAAAAAGAAAAAGTGTGCGTCGCCCAGGGTCGCACGAATGGAATTTCAGCTCTGCGTTGTCAATTTATATAAATTAAACACGTATACGAAGCGAAATCATTAATTTTCTCTTAAAAAATGATAAAAACCAAAAATATGTTGTATTTGTATTTTTTGACAAGATGATGATTAATGACAATGTTTAGGTTAATTACTAAAAGTAAATATCAATGCATTGTCAATTGTTGTTTATTATAAAATATACTTTATTTATTTATTTATCATATACAAATAGTATATAATTAATTATTATAATAATATTTTATAAAAAAATTAAATTACCTACAATGTGTAATTTACCAACTAAAATAACAAGCAAATATTTTTAGAAATGCTAGAGCAGTATTTATTATAACATATTCGATTTAAAATAAAAATTACTGTTCAGTCAAAGCGTTATCGCCTTCGGTATCTTTATCTCAATCATTTAATACAGTTCTTAGTGGCCAATGGTGACTGAAATGAGTGATATAAATATCAGTTCTTAAATATATAAGTAATAAAGCGTGTGAAAACGGCATGACTTGTTTGGCGCGGAACTACAAAGCACTGTTTCCGAAGGTTTCTTTGAAGGTGTGTTTTTGAAAATTTACGTTTTGTAGGCTCAAATTACACTTATTTAAATTAGTACAGTCTTCTTAGGTTGTATTTTATCGGACTTTTTGTTAAACGTGGTGAAATCGTATTGTGGGTATAATTGCATAGAATGTGCAAAGAAAGCAATCCTGTTTCATTTCATAGGTTATAGTCACATGTCACATAAATCGGTTGGCATTCTTGATTAATAACAAATTATGTTTATTAAATTGTTTTTGTTTATCTGACATTACTGTTATGTACGATCAGTAGCATCCTTGTAGTTATAGTTTCGTGTTCTGTTTTTAGTGTTCTTTTTACTGTGTTTACTTACATAAAAAGTAAGTTCTTTTCAGAAGTAACTACCTGAAATTAACAACTGTGTGACACATAACCAAATTTGATAAAATTTTACAAAACGCACTATCCGATTTTACACAAACTGTTTGCACCAAACTCTTCTAATCTTCAGCACCTCTGATCTCGTTCCTCACCTTCAAATGTTGCGCCACAAAAAATGGTATATTTCGCATTCCTGCACTCTTTAATGGCAGCCATTGCTAATGTAACCTAACTTTTTAGAATCACCAACGAGCATAAAGGTAATGTCTGGTTTTTAAGACACACGGGCGGTTCGCGTTAACATACTCTTAAACGTGGAACTTCTTGCTCCGTGGATCGTTTAATTTATTTATTAGAATTTGTGCAAATTAAATTGTGTGTGTATTGTGTATTTGGTTGCCTATATTGCGCGAACACTAAACATTTTTTTCTGACACAAGGAGTCACTTGCACAGACAGGTAAAAATTGGTGCTCAGATTTTATGTTTTCTAAGGGCGTTAAATATTTTCATAAAAGTTAAAGATATTTCATGACAATTTAAAGGTTAAATTGTTGCAGGTTTTTCAATTGGAAGTTGCCATTGCACTACATAAAATTCTACACATGCACCCGTATGTGTAGAATATTTCAGTCGTTGCCAATGTCAATGGTTCAATAATAATCGAAACAATGATGCCTTATTAGACTTAACATTTCTCATCGATGAGCGGATATATGAATAGTCAAAATTATAGATCGTGGGCCACTGAGAATCATCATAATTTTATAGAAACTAGTTTGCATGCAATAAAAGTTGGAGTTTGGGTAGTCATTTCAAGAATATGAATTATAGGCCCGATTTTTTTTCACGATACTGTAAATGTTGAAAGATATCGCACTAATAAATAATAATTTTAAATAAATAATAATTTTATTGTCCAACAGGTTACCCTAATGACAGGACAAATCTAAATAATTACTTACATGAATAACCAACACAAAAATTATAACAATAACAAAAACAAAAACATAATTCCAAGTATAAACTAATTTGAATAAAATATATCAGCTACATATCTATCTGCACATCGACACATTGTAGTAATTGGCGAACGACGAAGGATATTAGTTCGGGCGGTGGAGATATGAAAGGTGTTAACATATCTCGATGCTGGCCGAGGGACATTAAATCTAATCTGTGATAATAAATATGGGCAATCAATTTTGTTGTGAATAAGCTTACACAAGAAGTTAGCCGCATGCAGCTCCCTTCGAACCATCAAAGAGGACATCTTGTGTCGTTGGAGAAGACTTTCCATCTCAATACCTCTGGCCGGATAATTACCATCAATTTTGATCGAAAGGAATTTCAAAAATTTCCTGTGCACTTTATCAAGAAGCATGTGCTGACACATATATATGGGATACCATATTAGTGAGGCATACTCTAATTTCGAAAGAACAAATGCAAAGAAGAGGGATTTAATTACGTCAATGTTGTTGAAAAATTTTGAAGTTCTCATGACAAACCCCAAAGATTTATTTGCAGCATTGCAAATGTTGGTAAGATGAATATCAAAAGTCAAGCAGCTATCAAAAGTAACTCCTAGATCTTTCGTTTCGATGTTTTTCGTTCTAACGGTGTACCTTCTATTGAATAAGAAAAATCAACGATATTAAGTTTTCGACAATATGAAATGTAGCAACATTTACTAATATTAATAATAAGTCTATTTTGATTGCACCATTCCACGATTTTCATAAGTTCACGTTGTAAAAGCTCAGAAAAAAAATTTTCTATTGTCTCAAATTAGCAAATTTTAAATATTTCTGTGAATTTACAAGAAAATGTCCAACTAATTTTCGAAAATAGTTGAAAAATAGTCGAAAATCTCAAAAGTGCCAAAATCAACTGGCTAGTACTTGCTCAGAAAAGACTGACTTTGGCAAATCACATACCTTCCAAGAAAATAGAGGGTGGGTGGGCGGGGCTACTATTTGATAAGATAAGACTGAGTTTGGCAAATAACGGATCCTTTAAAAATTTAATTAAATTATTACAATAAAAGACACTAGAGGCTCCAAAGCAGTTTCAAATTCTTTCCAAACAGGAATACCTAGAACCTCAAGATTGTTTTAAATTTTTTAAAAAACACACGGGTTCCCACGATTAGCTCAAAAACTGGATAACGAAATCAACAATAAAATAAGTTTCGAAAATAGTTGAAAAATGGTCCAAAAATGAACTGCCAAAATTAGTTTTATATTATCAAATACTAGCCCCGCCCACCCACCCTCCATTTTCTTGGAAGGTATGTGATTTGCCAAAATTTGTTTTATCTTACTAAGTGCTAGAACCTCCTCCTCTATTCTTATCTAACGACTAATTTTATTTCTGTTTAGTATAAAATCATTCAAAAATCAGGGTGGGTGGGCGGGGCTAATTATTTTCTCTGTTGTTTAGGAGGTGAAAAAAGTGAAAACAGTGCCAATCGTAACTTTTTTACTTATACTATTCGCTATAAAATTTATTTCTTATTTCATGCACCTGACTTGACTTGACCTAACGTGACCTGACCTGTTCTGATTTTTCTATTGTCTCAAATTAACAAATTTGAAATACATATTTCTGTGAATCTACAAAAAATGTCTTCTACTAATTTTCGAAAATAGTTGAAAAATAGTCGAAAATCTCAAAAGTCCCAAAATCAGCTGGCTAGTACTTGCTAAGATAAGACTGATTTTAGCAAATCACATACCTTCCAAAGAGATAGAGGGTGGGTGGCGGGGCTAGTACCTGTTAAAATAAGAGTGATTTTGGCAAATGACTTTATCCGTTAAGAACTTTAATTCAGTTATTATAAGAAAAGACACTAGAGGGTCCAAAGCACTTTCAAATTCTTTCCAAAGACTTGAGATTTTAGAATAAATTTTCAGATCATCAGCATAAGCTAAAATACTGCAATTTAAAGATTCCAAAAGGTCATTGATAAATAGACTGAAGAGGAGAGGCCCAAGGTTAGAGCCTTGTGGGACTCCAGACCTTGACAAAAAACGAAAAGAGCTAAAACCATTGTAAAATACATAGTTGTTACGGTTTATTAAGTAAGACTCCATCAGTTTGAGAAGGGGATAGTTAAATCCAAAGTTATTAAGTTTGCCTAACAGAATGTCGTGAGGAAGAACATCAAAAGCTCGGGAAAAGTCAGTATATATTACGTCTATTTGTTCTCGTTTGTCAAGTGCAACACTTAGATCTTGAACAAGCACTGCAAGGTTTGTAGATGTAGATCTACCAGTTCTGAATCCATGCTGTCCTAAACTGATATGCGAACGAGTATTATTGTAAATGCAACTATATAATGCCTGTTCAAAAACTTTTGCAAAATTGCTTAGAATGGAAATAGGACGATAGTTCGCTAGTAAAGATGGATCACCCTTTTTAAAAATAGAACTGATTCTTGCAATTTTCCAAAGGTCCGGGAATGTACTTGTTTTAAGTGCCTTGTTAATTATGATGGACAAAGGTTGGGCAAGTGCATATCTACAGTCACGTATCAAAAAACTAGGGACTAAGTCATCACCACATGTTTGTTTGTTGAATAAATTTGACATGATCAGAATTAAATCCTCTATGCTGACGGAAGACATTGAGAAAGAATTTGAAAAAATAGAAGTAGACTCTATGTGCGTAGAGTTGTTAACAGTAAATACATTGGCAAAGGTAGTAGCAAATGCATCGACAATATCCTGAGGTTCCGAAAATATATTTCCATTATTGTCTCTTAACTGACCCGGTATTCTAGAAGTGCCATTTTTCAAATGTAGAAAGCTCCATAAAGATGAAGGATCAGATTTGATATTGCTCTGGACATGATTTAGATACAGTTGGTAGGCATTATCCATTTGTTTTTTAACAATAGCTCTTAGTCG